GCGGCTCGTCGGGGCGGGCCGCGATGTCGGGGCGGCGGCGGCTGCTGCTGCGCTGCCTCGTGCTGGGGCTGCTGGGCAGCGGCGGCGGCGGGCAGCGCGGCGGCGGCGAGTACTGCCACGGCTGGCTCGACGGCCAGGGCGGCTACCACGAGGGCTTCCAGTGCCCCGAGGGCTTCGACGCGGCGTCCGCCACCATCTGCTGCGGCTCGTGCGCGCTGCGCTACTGCTGCGGCGCCGCCGAGGCGCGTCTCGAGCAGGGCGGCTGCACCAACCACCGGCAGCCCGTGGACACCGGTGCCGCCGCCCGTGAGTGCCCGGGACGCGACGGGATGCGACGGGACGGGATGCGACGGGACGGGACGGGGCAGAGCGAGCGCGGCGCTTCCCCGCCCCGCAGAGGCTCCCGCGGGGCCGTCCAGGCTCCCGCCGGCCCCGGAGCCCCTGCTGGTAATTTATCCCCGAGGTGAGGCTGCGCTGGGCTGCCGTGTGCGGAGCCACCCGCTCCACGCTTGTTTGTCACCTCACCAAGCCGAGCAGCAGTCCCGCAGAGCCGGAGCAGACCTGAAGGTGCAGGCAGCTCCCGCAGCCTTTCCGGGGGAGAAGGAGAGTCTAATTCTTGAGTGGAGCCTTCTTAGAATAGACTGTAACCGTGTGGCGAAGCAGACACAGCACGGCAGTTGTTTAACATCAGAAGTAGTGAAAACTGTCAGCAGAAGGAAGTTTGAGCTTGCACCAGTAGTGCGTATGCCTAGAGAAGGTCTGATGATGAGGATAGAGGCTCAGTCCCAGGAAGAGTTTGGGAGGGTGGTGGGATGCTGGTGGAGTAGTTGGGCTCCATATCCTCTATGGGGGTTGTTTCTACACAGTATAACTTCTCTTTCTGTAGGCTAATATGCACGGCTTATCCTTTTTTTTTTTTTTTTTCCCTCTTTGCCAGAACCAGTCTACGTCCCGTTCCTCATCGTTGGCTCCATATTTATCGCCTTCATCATCGTGGGCTCTTTGGTAGCTGTTTATTGCTGCACGTGCTTAAGACCCAAGCAGCCATCGCAGCCCATGCGCTTTTCCCTTCGGAGCTACCAGACCGAGACCCTCCCCATGATCCTGGCCTCGACGAGCTTCAGGTCGCCCTCGCGACAGTCCAGCACGGCCACAAGCTCCAGCTCAGCCGGCGGCTCCGTGCGGCGCCTCTCGGCGGGCCGGCCCGAGCCGGGCAGCCTGGCGGCGTCGCCCCCGCCGCCCTACAGCTCCGGCTGCTTCCCAGCGCCCCATCCCGCCGGCTTCCCGGCATCGCCTCCCTTCCTGGGGTACCCTCTCCAGCCGGAGCCTGCGCTGGCCGGCAAGAGCTGCTCCGAGGTGGCTCAGGGCTGAGCGGCGGTGCCCGGAGGCGCGAGGAGCGGTGCCGGGCCGYGCGCCGGCCCTGGGAGCCCCGGAGCGGGTGAGTGGCCCTGGGAGYGAGCGGGAGCTCCGGCCACGTCGCCTTCCCTGGCCGGGAAAGGCCAGGTCGCCTTCCCGAGCGCRGGGATTGAAGCTACTCTTCACAACATGAATACGGAAAGCTTAATTTCTCTAAAACCTGTTAGTTTGGTCTAATCTGTGCAGAACGTATCCAGAGATGGGTAGGAAACCTGTTCTAAAAGTGCTCATTTCCTAGTGGTATAAATGATGTTTTAACCCTAAACGATATTAACTTAGTTAACCAAGCGGCTGCGTTGGGCAGAGATAACCGTCAGAATAGCTCTGCAGAGCAGCAGCGTGGCTGAGAGGCACGAGAGAAGTAAAACTTACTAAAACGAAGAGTTTGAGCATCCTAAAAGCAGCTGAGTGTGTCACGCACCCACGAGCAATGGAAACACAAGGGAGTGTATTACTATAGGTACCCAAATGTGTGGGTTTTTTAAAATGCACTTACTATACCTGAAATCCATACTTGTATTAATAAATTACTGGTAAGATAGATAAAAATATTTTAGTATTAATTAGGCTAGTTGAAAACATGCCAGTCCCAAGCAGACAAATAGATAATTATATATGAGAAAAGCAGAATGTATTCAATAATATTGTTAATAATATCTCAGCATAAAATTCTAAAAATGRCATTATATTAAAGTATTTTTCAGAAGGAAGTATTTATTGTTGGCTTTTTGCTCATCAACTTTTATACAATAACTTGGACAAACTGATCTTTRTATTCTGTTTGTAAAATTAGCAATGTATAAAATGTAAAGACAAACTTGTAATTTAAAATGTTTTTACAGCATTGACAGCACTAATTATTTCATAGTTATACTAAAGGTTTTTATCAATAAACTCTGCAGTTGAAATGTTGTGTCATCTGTATGTCTGTACAGAAAGTATTTGATGAGCACRTTTTCATTTTGATGGTTTCTCTATAACATATTCTGTTAAAATAGGTTTCTTTTTAATAAGCAACTGGGTACCTGTGATGCTATGCAGATTCCATACAATGTAAATTTTGAAATATATAGCTAACTAATAGGTTAATGTTTTTTATATGAAACTGGAGACTTGCTGTGGTGAAAACTACACTGATTATTTAGATATTTTGATTTATAACATCCCCTCTTAGGAATACATTTTAGTTCCTTGATTCAAACAATCCAACAAATCAAACGGAAGAATTAAAAAGGCGTCTAAAGCAAATATATGCTGCAAGCAAATGGGAAATACACAAGAAAAATGTGCAGTCATGAAAGGGCCTCAATGTACACTTATTTTTCTGCAAAAAAAGTAATTCTCGAAGAATCTACTGTAACAGAGACTAAATGCTCCTCTTCTATCAGGCCAAAATTCCCTGTTTGTAGGGGCTGTTGAAATACATTATACCCAACTAAATTTACAAGGATTAGCCTACAAATGACTGTGAAACTTGCAGTACTTCTATGTTAGACTACAGTGTCTCTCTGTGCTGAAGACTTAGAAAGGCTTCATTGGCTCTTCCTTAAGACGTGAGTATAATTCTTTTTCTTATAATTCTTTTCTTGATATGTCAGTGTCTTAGCTTTTATGAAAATTGAAAAAATACTTTGAAAAAAAACCTTTTATATTATTTTTATTGCATAATTTACCTTACAGCCCAGCATAAATTATTGCTAGAAATATAAGCATATAGACAACTTATTATACAATTATGTTTTAAATAATAAGTTTTGACTTAAATGTCATAACTTTTAATTATGAACCAGAATAGTGATACACAATAGTGTATATTTTACCAAAAAGAACCCAAATATTTGTAAAATTACTTCCATTTTAATGTCTGGCCGTGTACTTTTTAAAAAACATTTTTTTTCAGACAAGGGGACCTACTTTTGCAAGTGTTTTATCGAGCTCTATTCTGGATCCTCTTGGTATTTTGAATGGGACTGCATTAATGAAGTATTTTTCGTGGAAAACAAACCTAGAAATGAATATTGTAATAGATACCAGTTGTTTGGGAGTAGCCTGGATTACCTGTGTGGCTTGCAGATCGTTCTCATATACAGCAGAAATAGATAGTAAAGCAAAAATTGTTGACTTGACTATGGTTTACATATCAAGACATATTAAGTCTTCAATTAATAAAACTTCTAAAATCTAGTAAAGGTAAAAAGATCCAATCTATGGAGGCAAAAACTTGATATTTTGGGCTAAAATAGCACAATTTTGGTTTTGTTTGAACAAAGAAGGTCTTTTTTAGCAGTAGTCATCAGAACTAGTTACCCAAGTGTTGGATAGCTGGAGTTTGATGTTTTCCTCAAAGAAATCAYGGGTTTGAGATTGGTATTGCCTATTTAACCTATTCACAGGGTAGGTTAAAGCAGCCAGCCTGCTTCATCAGAATAGCCTTGATGGACTTCAGTTTGATTTATTAGTGTATTAACACAGGGACACATTTTAATATACTTACACGCGGTCTGACAGATACTGAAAGATTATTTAGTGTAAGTAAAGGCTGTGAAGTTTGCCAGGGATTGTGAAATTCAACCTAGCAGGGAAGAGCCATCTAAGCTGCTGCCTTTCCTCCCCAGACGCTGCCTAACAGGTTTGTACTAGGCATATGTTGCCTAATGGGTTTGATCCCATAAAATGCTTAAACAACTTGACACACAGGAATAATTTCACTGAATGGGGCTTAAAGTTTATGGAGTGTTGAACATTTTACAGAGCAGTGGCCAGAGCGCACCGAATCTCATAGAGAGAGCCCTAAGACGATGGGAAAGATCAAGCAGAGCTAAAATAACTGCACTGAGCCATCCGTTAGCCRGGTGAGGTGGGAATTACGAACAGCCTCCAAATGGATCACCAAAAAAAAGTCAGTTTAGTTACTATTAATGTAGCTAAAACGATGGCAATAKCTGAACAGAGATGAAGGGAGATGGCCAGAATACCAGTCCCTGGTCTGAAGYGATTTTTGCCCTTGGTGATACTTCCCACCACAAATGGATTTTGGCTACAGGTGACAATATTGTTTTTCCTTAAAGAAAAGGACTTATTGGCACCAAAAGCTGTTAAGATTAATAGAAAAATAGTCATCTCCTAAAACTTGCAGGAAGAACACCAATGATATTCTGATGCACATTAAAATGGTTAATGATTTGAAGGGTTAAATAACCTAAGCGTGAATTAAAAGAGACAAATTGCTTGTTATCAGACGTTGTATTTATAGGTATTTAGGCACATTTTTAAATATTACTTGCTTTACTACTATGCTTTTAAACACAGCAGGTTTAATTCCTCAAATTGTAACACTGGAGTTAATTTGTACTAATTTTACTAGAGTGGCACTAACATAAAATAAATCAAAAAGGATGGAATAATCACACTCAGTAAACTGATTACCATAATCCACACACTGTAGTCATGCAATACTCTGCCATTGGCTGGTATCAGCATGCATGCACCCCACATCTTGTACGGGCATAGAATTATAATTAGTGATGTCAATTAGATCAACCACTTGTTTTTGTTTTTCTGTACTATGGGTTTCCTAGGCATGTATCTCCAAGATGTTTCAAAAGTCTTCTGTGCTAAGAAGAACATCATGTGCACTTGCAAGAATTTCGGGAGGCTTCTATTTTAAACTAGGTAAATGGTATGGTAAAAAAAACAGGTAAACTCTGCTTTTGTGAAACTAATTCCCCTGGAATTTTTAAAAATGACAATTTCAAARTCTTCCTGTCATTATGTGTTTAAAGTTTGAAGTGGAGTTGATTTTTGGGCCATTTTTCCCGGTGCGCGGATTTGGCGGGGGATGCGGGAGGAGAGCAGCTCCTCTGCCAGGGGCTGCTGCTCATGGCAGGGTGCAGGTTCAGACACACGTTTTTGTTCTCTTTTTTAGCTCTTCCCTCAATTCCACACTTGTGACAGGGTGACTATTCATGTGACTGTGGAGTAAATCAGATTAGCAAGGTGATCTAGCTTAAAAATAACTTTTGTCTGAAAGAGAGGATGGAAGGGACTGGAAAGGAAACCTGCATCGCTATAACCTGGATTGTAATGGGAATCTTTGCAATGGCCTCATGACTGCCAGTGAAACAGAGGAGCTGGCAGCAAACCACCCAGTGCCACCTCCAGGGTATCACAGCATGAATCTGCTACTGTGTGTGTCTTAACACTACACAAAGTCTACAAAAAACCCCTCAGTATTTAGTGTGTATGAAGAGTCTGTGATTAAAACTCTGTTACCTACGGATATCTTGATACTTATTCTGTGGGCAAGCACTATTATGGCAAGAAACAGCTGCTCCTACCACAGCCGAAGGATACGCTATATTTTACTCCATGCAATCCAAAAACCAGGACTGTTTCCTTATCCGCACACTACCATTACTCTCATACCGCAGAGTTCTCCTCTTTCAAAACACGGGATCTGTAGCGGAAGCCTTGCTGACAGCCACTACGTCGCAGACTCCCACCCTGCCTTTTTCTGAGGTTTGTTTCTAACTGTTTCTGTGTTTCACATAGTAACCAGAAGAGGCACCTGAAAACAGCTATTTTTAAAAAGTAAAAACATTCTCTACTTTTTTCCATCAGTTYACCACGATAATGTAAAAATTCTTGGGAGCTCTTCTGAAATGCTATTTCTTACAAATTTTGATGGATGAGAAAACTAGAATGAAGGGTTATACGTTTGCCTTTGAAAGCAATCCCTAACATTTGCAACCAATCACTTCAACAAGGCCTCTTCATTTAATGGCAAAGTTTATTCATTTTTTTTTTAACAATTAAAAGACAAAACATTTAAAATTTGCAGTTCAAAACATGCACAGTCACCAAATGCGAAATGACATGTAACACTGCATAGAACAGAATGTGTTACTAAGAGAGAACRACTATTTATAAAACACAGTGCATTTAACATCCAGTTA